AGTTCTCTTCAGAACTTTTTTAATTTCATTATAGATCATTTCCCAGAAAGCCTTAATCTTCGGGCAGGTCCACCAAAGGTGATAGAAGGTTCCCTCCATTTCATTACACTTCCAACACTTGTTATTGGGCAGATGATAAATCTTTGCTAACTTAGCCGGAGTCATGTACCACCTGTAGATCATTTTCATAATGTTTTCTCTTAAGGCATTACATGCCGTAAATTTAACACCAGTGGTCCATAACTGCCCCCAGTCAGCAAGCTCAATGTCATGCCCTATATCCTGTGCCCATTTAATCATACTAGATTTCACCATTTCATCTTGAGTATTCCATTTCAACAGCAAGTTGTACATTCTTGACAAGTTTTTAGTATTGGGTTCTAACAGTTCTGTTTCTAGTTTTGACTTCTCCACTTGGAAGCCTTTCTTTCTGTCCTGTTTGAATACTTCATTTATCTGTCGATAATGTAGCCAATCTCTCACCTTAAACTTCAGTTTCTCGAAACTCTGCAATTTTACTTTTTCACCGTCTTGTTCTATCATTTCAAAATATTTAGGCCAATTAGAACCCATATTCAATTTTTTCACCTCTTTTGCCTCCATTGGTGACAGCCACCTAGGGGTTCTACTTTCAAACAAGTCTTTATACCTTATCCAGACATTATACAGAGCTTTCCTCACCATATGGTTCTTAAAACCTTTGTGCACTTTTACCTTGTCATACCATATATATGCATGCCAACCAAATCTGTTATCAAACCCTTCAAGATCCAAAATGTCTGTATTCTCGAGGAGCAGCCAGTCTTTCAACCAGCAAAACGCTGCTGATTCATAGTAAAGTCTTAAGTCCGGCAGGGCAAAACCTCCTCTATCTTTTGCGTCTGTTAATGTCTTAAATTTTATTCTTGGCTTTTTGCCCTGCCAAACAAATTTCGATATGTCTTTCTGCCACCTCTTGAAACAGTCCATCTTGTCTATTATTTGTAATGTCTGAAACAGGAATAACATTCTAGGCAATACATTCATTTTGATAACAGCAATTCTGCCTAACAATGAAAGTTTCACCCTTGACCATATGTCTAAATCTTTCTTGACTTCTGTCCAACATTTATCATAATTGTCTTTAAATAAGTTCACATTTTTCGCTGTCAAGTTCACCCCCAAGTACTTCACTTTTTTTGCTATCTCCAAACCTGTTTCATTCTGAAATGTTCCTTTCTCTATAGCTATCTCTTCCGTTACCACATTATTCACAATTAGCTTTGCCTTCTGCTCAGAGTATATTGCACCTATACCATTTTCAAAACCTTGGCCTACCCCCATCCCTTGGAGATTCTTTTTCATAAAACTCCAGCAAATATTGTCAAAGGCTTTCTCCGCGTCCACAAAGATCAAAACCGCTTTTCTATTAATGTTCATTTCGAGCAGTTCCACAATGTCTATTATGTTCCTCACATTATCAGTCATATGTCTCTCTCTCTGTCTCTCTCTCCCTCCCTCCCAGAATAGCTTCCCAAAATTTTCACCCAAAGAAATCTGTCTTCACACTGAACATTGATATCTGTCTACATAACTTCAGTTTTCTCCCAAAACAAATTAGTCATCGCTTGGGCAGAAATGACATTTCAGGTTTCCCTGAGGGTGGCTGCAAAAGATTTGATTACAGGTAAATCTGTCACCAGCTCTGAGACCTAAAGTGCCTTAGGAAAAGACAAGATTCTGAACAAGGGCACACACAGTGATAGGTGCCATCAGCCTGCCTTCCCTTGCCTGCCTCCTGGTTTCACTCCTAGAAGTGTTGCCTTGTGATCCTAAGCACATTTACATGGAATTCAACTCCTTTCATAGAATCACAGAATTGTAGAGTTGGAAGGGACTACGAGGATCATCTAGTCTAGACAGGATCCCACATCCCTGAGATTAAGAGTCTCCAGAGTGATTCAGTCAGAGCATGAGACTCTTAATCTCAGGCTCGTGTTGAGGGGGGGGCGGGGAAATCCTGCGTTGCAGAGAGTTGAACTGGATGACCCTCATGGTCCCTTCCAGCTCTGCAATTCTGTGAAAAAGGCTTCTATGCTCTACCAACTGAGCTATCCCTCCAGTAATGCTTGGGACAATGATGTTAATATTCAGTACTCATGCATTCTTCTGGACTCTGCCTGCTTAACTTTTTTTTAAGTACCCAAACTGGGATGCAGTCCAAAATCTTCTTGAAGTGAGCTATAGTTGCCTGCAAAAGTACAGCAACCTTTCTTTCTTCTACCTGTCTCCAGCACATACAATTTCTGCAGAGGAGCTCTGAAAAGAACACTTTCCTCTTGGGAGTATTCATTGTTGTGAAAGGAAAATCAGCTGAAAGCAAGTATTTCTGTCAAGGGTAAGTCCAATAAGAACTTTGTTCTTGCACCCAAAAACCTTATGCGGGGGATATCTGTCTCTGCTATTGGAAAGGCCATACCTTCTCTCAGTTTCCAATCCTTCCTTGTAGATACCATTGCAATCTTTTGCAAAGAGCTGCTGTTTTCTTTTGGCTTTGTTCTTTTGTTCTTGCAGCCTTTGTGATAGCAAATAATTGCATAAGGTCAGGCACAAGCCCTGCCACTCTCTGTGTTTCTTTTGCAGTCCATATGTTTTGCCTTGCAGTCAAGCAGAACAGTGAAATTAGCACAGCAAAAATGAAAATGATGGCCAAAGGTAGCACCTATGCTTTGACTAGAACAAACTGTGCAAGTTAAAATCAACACACCAGTTTTCTTTCTCTGCACAGTTCTTTTGTTGTTGCTGTTAATTTGGGGGAGCGCATTCATACAGACCACTGACTCCTCACACCTGAACCATTATCTTTTCTAACACAGATACACACAGGCAGATTTTATTTCACCAGGCATAGCTCCACAAAATGTTTTTGAACTTCACTTTGCAATCCTAAGGACTAGAAACTTTGTGTGTGTTGAATTTTTAAAAAGTGAAATCCTGAGGATGCTGGATTCAATATATCATATGAATTTCTGCACTTGTGAGGTCCATTCGGAGATGTGCAATACAACAAATTCTGACAGAGCCCTTAGATGACCAGAACTTAGTTGATAAGGTGCAGTAGAAGGGGAAGCACAAGATGGACCGAGCAAACAGGATGAACCAAAGAGACTACTGAAAAAATAGAGCAAGTTGCCACTTCTCCGCCTAGTCTACCACACACAAAACCCAAACCTACATTTAACAAAGTCAAACCACACCTGAAGTTAAGAAACTCGTGAATTACCCCATTGGGAGTGTCAGTTTTGACTGATTGCACCTCGTGGAATTTCATTTCCACAGTTTGCCAGATCAGCCCCAAATGAATAGCTCCATTAAATAATCAAGCCATAGTTCCAGGTCTTGTGGGAACATAATTGTAATTCTATGTTTAGAGAGGAGAAATGCAGGAGCTGCTTCAAAGAACACTTTCTACTACTCAGCATGTGTAATCAAACAAGGTAATATATACAGCTCAAAGCATGCTGTCAACTGTTTTTTGACCTCAGTCATATACACAGAGCATGCAGCCATGAAAATCCAAGGTAACAATAATGTAGTTTCCAAACAATGCGTACTACTGAAAGCATCCCTTCATTTGACCCATGTTTTCTTGATGACAACAGTCATCATTAGGGAACACAAGGAATGTTTACAACAAGTGCCTACAGCTTCTTTACTTATTAATTTGTTTATTAACTAATTGGATAAATTTGCAGGCACAGGAGAACCCCTTCTGAGGGGATGAAGCTTGTTCAAATAGGTGCTCTCAGTGGCTGCTAGCTACAATCACTATATTATGCCTCTGCTGTCGAAACCAGTATGCCTTTGAGTACCAGAGGATGGGAATTGCAAGTGAAGAGAGTGTAGTTGCACTCAGGTCCTGCTGATGGACTTCCCATAAGAAATTGGGCAGCAGCAGCTTTCTCAAAACCTCTGGATCCAAGGAGTGCCTCTTTAAGAGGGGCTTCACCACACCTCTTTCAATGTGGTGGGCATAACTCCCTCCCATTCTGAGGTATTGGCCACTCACTGGACTGACCAGCCCACCCTCTCCTACTGGATTTTACGGGCCATGAATTATGATGGGCAAGGGTAAGCATTCTGTCCAGGAACTCAGGCTACAACAAGGAAATGGATCCAACTGACAGTTCTTATTTGTTCTTTTCAAAGAAGTTGGTGCATTGGAGACCTTCACCTGCTTACTTTTCTTAAGTGTTGTATTCCAAAAGCTGGAATAATTTGATCCTGCTGTTAGCACTTTACTACTAAACCTCTGGCAGCTTTTAGCATAAAAAATAATAATCTAATGACAAACATTTTAAACAATAAAAAACGTGGTGAAGCAACAGAAAGGCAACAGCCTCCCAACCATTTCTACTCCAACATTGTGCGCACCTCTCCCCTTCTAAAAAAATATGCTTGATATCATTTACGGAAGGCCATGTGTTCCCCTCTCTCTGGTACTGGAAGCTCACACCTGACCAGATTTTTAATTTTCTTTTTAGTTGCAGTGAGCAGCAGTAGAACTGTGCCCGTTGCGGAAAGACTGTCCTGTAATTACTATGCGAGGGAGACTTCTGACAAGGGTATAAATGCGGTTGAGTCACGCGATCACTGGTCTTCCGGATAAGAGCCCTCTTCGCTTTCCTTTATTTAAAACAAACAAAGCACCAATCTGCTGGCAACCATTGGCCACTGCAGCCTAATGCCATCTCATTGTTCTAGGGAAGCTGCGTGAACGGAAAGAACAAACTTTCCAAGTTCGTTACATAATCCAAGGTAGTCGCAGCCCGTGACTCGGACCGCAGACCGATAGTAGCTAAACCCCCTTCCCCTCAACCTAGAAACTCAGCCCTCTGGCCACTCCCTGTGCTGGAACCCAACTCTCACGAACAATTAACCCTCTTCCTGCGATTATTAAACCACCTTTGTCCTGGCGGCTGCTCTGGTTAGCTAAAGAAGGGAGAGACCGGCGGAGGTGGGGGTGAGGAGAGCGCCACAGCTCGCTCGCGAAGCGGGACCGCCTGATCTCAAGCGCTCCTGCCTCTGTGCAGGTTGGGTTAAAAAGAGTCCCTCCCCGCCTCCTCGTCCCATCAGCTGGAGGCTCCTCCTCCCCATGCTTAGCCATCCCCCTGGCACAGGTGAGCGCGCGTGTGCTAGAGCCAGCTGTGGGAGCGCACATGTGTGCGGGAGCGGGAGCGCGCGCACATCTGGAGGGAGGGAGCGCAAGCTTTTGGATTGCTTCATTCGTCCCGGGCTCCTTGGTGACTCCTCTGCGCTCTCCGGCCCTTTTGCTCCGTGCGCTCCTGTCGAAGGAAGCGGCGGCAGCTCAGAGCAGAAGGCAGCGCTTCTTTCGTCTCCTGCTTCACCACTGGCTTAGCTGGGAGGTGTAACCCACTGGTCCGTCTCCCTCCCTCCTTCTCTCTCCTGCGTCTGGGGCAGCTTTCGACGCCCTCCTGCACTGCAAAGGGGAATTTGCCCTGAGGCTGTCCGGTCAGCACCAAGGACAGCGCCCGCAGCCCCTTGGAGCCTCGCTGTGGTCGGGCGGCCGCTGGCCGGCACCATGAGGGGCGAACCCTGGAACCAGAGCGAGCCCAACAGCACCCAGCTATCCTGTGGCGGCCCCAACAGCAGCCTGGAGGCAAACGGAGGCAGCCTGTGCTCTGCCCACGGCGTCAGCCCTTCCATGGTCACGGCCATCGTCATCATGGTTCTCTACTCCGTCGTGTGCGTGGTGGGACTCTTCGGCAACTTCTTGGTCATGTATGTCATCATCCGGTAAGAGGAAGCGGGTCTCGCGGGGAGGCGGTGGCGGGGTGCTTCCTGAGTTCCAGCGAAAGGGCCATTCGTGCAAATAGGCAAGGAGGGGGGGCTGGGGCAACTTTCGGGGCGATGGCTCTCCCCACCACCCCATCATGGAGACTGGAAAGGGAGGTGGTTCCCTGGTCATTTTCAGGGTGCTCCTTCAAGAAGGTGCAGCCAGGAGAAATGCAGTTCTTTTTCTTTGGTCAGGAAAGACCCGGAGAACATAAGTGTGCCCTTGAGAACCCTAAATCTGCCTTCCCCAACCCTGCTGGCTGGGGTTGATGGGAATTGTAGTCTCAGAGGGGGCACCAGGTTGGGGAATGCAGACCTAAAGGTTTGGCTGGAAGGTGCTCTTTGGAAGACCTTCCAAAACCAGGGATTCTTTTTCATGTGGGACCCATTTTCTGCAGAAACCCCTTTGCACAGTTCACGAAAGGAGATATTTGTTGGACACATTTAAGGTGGACCAAACTGCAGTAAACCAATTGGTGCCCATGGTGCCATGGCACTTCTCATCCTCACCAATCCCTGGCTATGCTTACCATTGCCACCATGTTGATGCCTCTTCCCTCAGGAGGAAATGTATTCATGGGACTTTGCTGGTGGTGGTGGGGAATCATGTTGAGAAGAGATGCAGTCATTGCCTCTTATTTTGATGCCTCTGGACTGATATGAATGGCAGTTCTGAAGACTGTGCTGGCAGCAAGAAGAAGTGTGTAACTGGAAAAAGAAAGTTGTAACAGGGAGCATGTCTGATTGTGCAAGTAAATCGGTTTGGAGTTGGAGTGGTGGTCAGGTGATAAGACTTTATTTTTAAAAAGAGAAGAAATTCTTCTTGAGTGAGAATATGAATTTTTACGGGTGAAAAGTTTAATATATGTATTAGATAGGAAAAAAACTTTAGGTCATAGCTCTTCCTATATCCATGGAGAGAGAAAAGAACAAAACAATAACCCCTTCACAAGAAGCTCAAAAGCAGTGCCTTCTATGGTCAGGTTTGCTGTCTTAGATATACATGTCTGTACTCTTTTGCCTGCCTCCCAACTAATAAATCACTTATATATAAAGAGATGAATACCAACAATCCTTTCAGGAAAAAAATAACAGAATTTAATGGTCATATCCCCCCTCCATTTGCCCTACTGACTTTCATACCAAAATGTTCCCACTTTATTTCAGTTGTGAAAAGATCTGAAACCCCACCCCATTTAAAGGTTTGCATTTTCTGGGCAAGTAAGCTCCTCTTCCAAAGAAATGTTGTGCAATATTCTTCCACGGAAATACTTCTGTCAGATGCAAGTTTACTGCAAAGAGATTTGTTGCCCGTTTGGGGGGGGGGGCACAACACTCTTCTGTATGTGGAATGGGTTTTCTTGTTGCCTTTGTGAAATTAGATTTCTTTAATGAATGCCAGGTAGGACAGCAATCAAATTTGCTCCTAGCACCCGGCTAACATTTAGGAGAAACGAGATTACAATCAATATCTAAAAGAACACAGCACCATCTATTGAAACGATTGATAACAACAGGTGGAAACGGCTGCTTCTGAGACAACATGGGGGGGGGGCGGAAACCAGTTTATTTATCTGAAAAATTCCACCTGGGATGGACAAAAGCCTAAAGAAGCAAAATCTTAATTTGCAAGTAATAAAGGTATTCAGTCATATTTTAAGATTTAGTAGGACCTGTAACAAAATCTTGCAGTGTACCCCTCTCAAAAGTTCCCTTAACTTACTTCCCTGGGAAACTATATAAGCAATAAGCAGCTGAAGTCAGACTCTTTTTTCCAGCTGACACTCAAAATTCATTGGCAACTGAATTTAATTTCTTTTTGTTGGGGTCTGTGTCCCCCCAACCCTTGGGTCCGTGTGTTGACATTCTATTTCAACAAATCTCAGAGTTTTCCAAAGCTTACTTATACCACCCTCTTTTTGTCTCAATGGCCCAGTTTTGACTACATAACACCAGCATCACCCTTCGGGTTCTAGAGGGGCCTTAGGCAAAACTGTGCTCTCCCCCACACTCAGGGAGCCTACCTCCTCACCACCATTATCACCAGCTGCTCCTACTGCTGTCCCCATCCTCTTCATCATTGTGGTGACCCACTTGCTTGCCAGGCAGAGAGCCAATGTGCAAGCAGACAGTGGCATCGACTGCCACCATTGGTTGAACCAGAGAGGTGAGTGATCAAACAGGAAGAGGAATAGGTTCAGGGAAGCTCTTGTTAGGGAACTCTTTGCTGGGTCATCCTCAGCAGCTGTCCAGCCATGCTAACACTGGACACCAGCCCTGCATTCACCACCTATGTCTGCTCTTAGCGGGAAGGAGTGGTGCATGTTGTTACTTATACAGCGCTATGAACTCCTTGCAGGCTGACCTGTATTGCCTTTATTATTATTATTATTTCATCCTTTGGTTAAGAACTGAGCTGACTCAGGTTGCACAAGTAGGGATTGTGACTGAGAAGCAAACCACCTTTGACAATGATTATCTACTGTTTATTTCAGCAACATCTGCTGTTTATTTCAGCAGCAGCAATAAGAAATCTGCTTTCTCTGTCTCTTTGCAATGCTATTTCCATCTGCCTGGGAGTAAGCCCTACTTGACTCAATTGGCTTCCTTCTTCGTAGATGCATTTAGAATGCCATTGCTCTTTCGTTTATCTCCTGTTCTTCCTTTATGGGACTCAGGACAGCATGTATGGGGCTCCCACTGAACCTCCAGGAGTTGAATCCACAGTCCCACACTGCTATAAGACTAATTATTCAAATGCATTTCCTTCCTTCTCATCATTGCATAATGACTTAATTGCTTTTTCAACAGTGGTTAGAGTGCCTGATTAGTGCCAGGGAGATCCAATTCAAATCTCCACTAAGCCATTGAGGTAACTAGTTGGCCTTGTTATGACAATAAAATAGAAGAAACATTGTGAGCTACCGAAAGGTCTTTGGAGGAAGGGTAGAATAGAAATTATATATATATAGGTGTGGGTGTGTATTTGAGCTGATGAATGGTTTCCCACTCCATACCCCACAATGACCAAGAGCAACATTTTCATTGACAGCAGTGGATTTGAACTCTAGGATGCTCCTTGAGAAGCACATCAGCAGCAACCTCAATACTGAACATACAAAAAACCAAAAGTAACAGGCATCCTTTTGGGGCCAAAAGGAAAGAGTAGATGAATTTTGGTGTGAGGAACTTGCATTTCATTCTATACTTGGCTATGAAATTCTCTAAGGCTCAAATTACATGTGATACTCATTCACATGTACCATTCCCCCCCTCCCATTTTTTGGTAAATCTAATTTTTTATTGTTTTTACAGAACATTTAAAAAGTAGCAGGCATAGTGTGACAATGCATAATCCAGACATTGTTCCTTTAAAAAAATATGAAATAAAGCAAAGTATCTGCTGGAAGAGACAATCTTGAGTGGGTGACTGTATAACTCCTACTTTTTAAGCATTTGTTCATTGATTCCCACCCCAGTAGCTTTTGCACCTGTGGGAACCTGCAGGTCTCCCATTCTGGAGAGAAAATCAACATGAGATTAGGGAAAGTGGCATAAGGAGAGGTAAGAGTGAAGCAGAATGGATTAGCTCCCTTCTGTTGGTGCTCTGATAAAAATACCAGTCTCCCACAACTGCTTTTAACTTTTTAAAAAAAGAAAATGTGGATCAAGTGGAGGAACATGTGTACTTTGAGTATGAATGACCATGGGGAACTCACTTTCTCTTGGTACTGTGAACAGTTCTATAGAATAATAATGGCATGCTAGACGTAAAGACTGTCAATTAGAAGAAACACTTCTTACTGCCATTGACTGGATTTGAGTAAGCCTTGTGTCTGCATAAACGTGGATAGAGTTACAGTCCCCAAAGTGTTGTTCACTTCCTGAAATTTTGATTGAGTCATGTTTGATTACACTCCCTGCCACCGCAATGCAAAGAATTAAGTCATTATTGCAACAGGTAGAAATTGGGTATCCCAATTTATGTCTGCAGCTATACAAAGACCACCCTGCCTGAAAATTCCAGAGTGTGAGGACCCTGCATAAAAGGACGTATATGCAGAATGCTTCCATTCTGGTAGATTATTTTAGATCCATACAGGCAATTATTTTAGGTTAATACAATGACTGAAAGGATTTGTTTAATCCAAGACTGCTCAAAACATCTGAGAAAGAAGAGCATACAAGTCCAGTCAGCCTCCCTAAAACATGGGCTCTAATTTACTCAGGGCATTGTTAAATAGTGGTATTTACTGATGTGCTAATGGCCACCAATTGAGATGACTTTAAAGGGGGATTAGACAAATTCATGAAGGACAAGGCTATACAGTCACAATGGCTAAACCACCTCCAGGTTCGTATTCAGCATACCACTCAGTGCGACTTACTGTGAAACAACAGTGGAGAAAGACTATTGATCTCATCTTCTACTCATGAGCTTCATATCTGATGGGCTACTGTGAACAGATACAATAAGCCTTTGGTTGGATCCTGAGAGACACTTCTTCTGTTCTTGATCAGGAGTGGGGAACCTTCTTCAGACAAAGGGCCACATTGCCTTCTAGGCAACCTCCTGGGGGCCACTTGCCACTGGGTGGAGCCATGGATGGTAAATGTTTACCTTTGTACAGCAGGCTAATTTCTATACACACTTACACATCCTCTTTCATCCAAGCGCGTGAGAGGCATTAGCAGAGTTCATGGCCTTATGGCAGCCAGGCAAAAAGCACTCTTGGAGATTGCAAAACAGGGCTGAGGAGTGGCCTGGACAGATGGGGGTGGCTGGGGACAGGGTGCCCTAGAGAGGGTCCTTACAGCCAGGTAAAGAGGCTTGGAGGGCCATATCCGGCCCCTAGGTGAACCTGAGTGAAGCCTGCTTGCTCCATTTCTGCTCCCCTAGCCATGCCCCTTTGGCTGCCAAAGACTGGCCAGTTTGAATAGCGGGCCTGGTGGGAACCCAT